CGCTCGTCCGTCCGTACCGCCCTGCCAGCCCGGGACCAGACCGCCCTCGCGCGTCTGTCCCGTAGGGGTAGGCCCCACCCCCGGGCCCGTTTCGCATTCCTATTGGCTTTTCCGCGGCCCAGCCGCTGTTTGTCCCGACTTCCCCGCCGCCCATTGGTCCTCCCGGGTCCTCCCAGGAAGTTTGAAAAAAAAAAAGTTTTATGGGCGGATGGAAGGGGCCGGAGTAGCGCCGGGGAAGGGAAGGGCCGGAGGAACGGCAGCAGGCGGCCGAGAGGGGCGGCGGCGGCGGGACTCCCGCGCCGCTCAGCCCGGCCCGAGAGCGTTTTCCACCTGCCTGCCTCCTGCTCCCACCGCCCCGGGGCGCCGCCATGACGGTGAGTACCCTCCGGGGCAGCCCCTCTGCGCCTCAGGCCAGCGTGAGAGCGACGCCCGAGCCCAGCCGCTCCCCTCCGGGGAAGCCTCTCCCCTCCTGGACAGACCCCCCTCACTTCCCGGAGGCAAAGGGAGGTCTCCGCCGGAAGACAGGGCGACCTCAGTGGCAGGGCCGTCCGTCTTGCCTCACCTCTTTCCAGCCTCCTCCTCACCTTTCCGGGCCAGAAGCCGGCGACTCCGAGTATGTGGGAACGCCCCGTCATGGGCAGCCCCAGTCCTCACTTTTGCGGAACAAGCCACAGACCGATTCGGGGTGGCCCTTTCCCATCTCTCGTCCAGCTTTCTTAGTGAAGACCTGACCTGATTCCCCCAAGCTACGAGAGCCGTAGGGGCTCCTTGGGCTCTGGACGGTGGGAGGAGAGGAGATGCGCTTGGCCTGGGTCTGGGGTCCCGCCCGGGGCCGGAGAGAGGCGCCTTTTGGCCTGGATGGGTCTCGTTGACCTGGGCTTGGGAAGACTGCCCGCCCATGTAGGGCCTGGCGGGAGGTTGGGCGGGTGAGAAGGGGTCGCCGCGTCCCACCCTGTCAGGGAGCCCATGCTGGGATTTCCGAAGCGGCAGAATACCGCGTTCCCCGGGCTTGCCCCTTTGCAGCGACGCTGGGGCCTCGGGTGGGGTGAGCCCGCGAGTGGGGGTGGGGGACACGCTGGCCAGTGTATGTCTTTCTCTTGGAGGTGAGCTTTACCCTAGTTCCATCGCCACCTGCGCCTTAATTAGTATATCACGCCTCACAGATGAGTTCACCATTACCCCCATTTCACAGGCGGGTAAACAGAGGCTTGCAAAGAGGCTTCGGTGAGTTGCCCGAGGTTACCCTGAGTGCGAGGGAAGAGCAGCTCCTTTCTAGGTCATTCTGGCCCCGTGGTGTCGTGGAAGGGAAGGGCAGGGCTGCTTTTGGTTTCTGACTAGTGCCGTAGGGAGGCTCTGACAGCTGCTGAGAAGGGTGTCAGGCAGGGCGTGTGAGTGCGGGCGCCGGTCCCCTCTCCACAAGCGAGTGAAGTGGTCTGGGCTGCTGGGGGGCGGGGTTGGGGCTGGGGAGAGGGGCCCCTGCCCCTGTGAGTGTGATGACCTGGCCCTGCCGGGACTTCCTCGGCCTCCGCACATCCTGCCACCTCCCTGCTGGCCCTTCCTGTCGTCAGCAACCTCCCCTGCCCTGCCCTGTCAGAGAGCAAAGAGGGATGTGGGGGTGGAGCTGAGTCAGTGTCCTGCCCTCGTCCCCCAGGCCAGGGGGAGGGTGGTCATACTGCCCACTGGGTGCCTGCCAGGCCCTGAACTGGGTGCTTTCACTTACCAGAGTTGATCCACCAGAGGTAGATGGCAACTCCCCATCTGACTGAGGAGGCCACTGAGGTGTAGAGAGGTGACACAGCTGGGCCCTGCTGAGCCAGAGCTGGTATCCAAGGGCCATCCCAGTTCTCAGGTCGGGCGGGCGAGATAAGAAAGGTACACAGTCGCCTCTCTGGGAGAAGCACGTGCTCCGCTGGGTAAGGCTGCGGGAAGCAGCACGTGGGGGGCTGGGAGGAGCCTTCCTGCGATTGTCGGACTTTGTCAGGTGAGGGACTGGAGTGGGAACAAAGTGGACAAAGGCTGGTGGTCACATCTGGGGAATGGTGAAAATATGGAAAAGGGGCCAAAGGCCAGAAAAAGTAGCTTAGGCTTTGGTCAGGGTTACTGGGGAGTCATGAAAGGTCTGAGGCAGAGAGGAGGCTGACGATCACCCCTGGCAGTGTTTGCTGGTTTCAGCCTCGCCGCCTGCAGACCTGAGCCTGCTCCAGGCTGGCGTCCTGGCTATGCCTTCTTTACACCCTCTCCCTCTCTCCTGGCCCTGTCCCCCTTACCTCAGGGATCTGTGTGAATCAAGTGGAAAAAGTGCTGTCCATGAGTAAATGCCGAGAGGCGTGGGGAAGCCCGATTTGCTCCACCTTCTTTGCCTGAGCCGGGGACAGCCTTGCCCCCAAGCCTCATTCCCCAGCCAGTGCCTGGCATCAAATTATATACCTGTTCACTTGTTTACTGTCTGTCTCTCTCCTGACTTCCACCAGGATAGGGGCCACATCTTCCATTCACAGTTGACTTCCTGGTCTAGAACAGTGCATGATACTTAAAAGAAAAGGAAAAAAAGATTACACAAACATTCCCTGGGTCCTCTGGGGGGTGGGGGTGGTGAGCAGTGCATGTCCCTGCCTGTGAGTTGCTTCTAGTCGAGCCTATGAAGGACAAGTAAATGTCTTCAGGATAATCACAGGTTCAACAGAGGCCTCACCGAGGGACCGTGGGAGGGTGGCCGAGGTGGTGTGTGCTGTGGACTAGGATGCAGGCCTCAGAGGCCATTGCTGGGTCTCAAAGCACGAGGAAGGGTTTGCCTGGTATTGGAGCAAAGGACACAGGCACGTGTGGCGGGCCCGAAGTCCTGGTGTGCTGGGGTCAGTGAGGATGTGTGGAGACATAAACATGGGGCCCCCAAAGTGAGGGGGGGCTGCGGCTTTTGTACCATCCCAAGGCAGCTGGAGTTTGTTTGCTCGTTTGTTTGTTTCTGGTTTTTAAATCATTTTTATTTTTTAATTACAGTTGACATGCATTATTTTATTAGTTTCCAATGTACTGCATTTTGTTTTGAAGCCACCTGGAGCCATTCCTGGAGGTTTTAGCAGACTTGTAACAACTAGGGCTTTTTGAGTGGGTCCGTCTTGCCAGAGGGTGCTTACAGAGGCTGTGCTGAAGGTCCAGGTGGGCGGGAGGTAGAGGGGACCTGAAGCCAAAAGGAGGAGGGTGAGCTATGGGAGCCTGTTGGTGCTCCTTAAAGGAGAAAGGCAAAGTGAGCTTCCTGCAGGTGGAGGAAAGGTGGCTGGGGAGTGGAGTGCCGTGTGTGAAGATGCAGCGTGAGAGAGTTAGGTCATCAGACCTTTTGACCCTGGGAGAGTGGGCTCCCAGGTGACCATAGGACCTCCCCTGCCAGCAGTTTAAAAACTCACATTGGCGGCCTCGTCTCCCCAAAGTCACTGTACCATCCCAGGCCCGATATGGTATTTAACATGTTTGTACTGGCTTCCACAGGGTCAACACACTTTTCCATGGGTGGCACATTCAGGCCTCATAAGACTTGAGGGAGGGCAGGACCCCACATCATTTATCACATTAGGCCGCAGGACTCAGGCAGGGGATATGACTGAGGAAGGTCACTGCAGCCCCACCTCCCAGGCAGCCCTTGGGGTCCCAGCCTGTCATTCCTGCTGGGGAGCTCGCACTCAGCCTCTGGAAGTGCGTGGCTGACCACCTGGGGCCGCCCCAGAGAGCCTGTCTCCTCAGGGCCAGGCAATGGGGAGGGAGACTCACCAAAACACAGAAATTCAGACCCAGTTAGAGGACGGTGGATGTTTATTTGTTGGGGTCTGGCCACAGCATGCCTAGTCCTGGAGCCATGGGGGTTCCCAGACTATTCAGGTGAACCCAAATGACTCGGTGGCCGGAAGCAGGGCCACCAGTCTTCATTCAGTCTTAGCCTGGGACTCCTGCACATTTGGGGAACAGGATGGGGAGAAATGGAGAGCAGATAGGGTGAACACCATCCAGAAGTTTCTCAGGTCTGAGCAGAGCCGGTGTCCCTTCCCTCAGACAGGTGTGCAGGGAGGGGCTTCAGTGCAGGGGTACGGCTGCCAGCCTGCTGAGACCCAGGGTCCCTGGTCTCAGGGCTGGCTGTGACTGTGCATGACTCTGAATGTCCAGGCTCCTGGCCCAAGCTCCTCAGACAATTTCCTTCAGCTGATGAAGAAGAGAAGGGGGCTCCCTGGGAGGAAGGCAGGTCAGGGGAGGTGGTTAGGTCAGAAGGCTCTGGTTTCCAGGTTTCCAGCTGCCTTCCCTGCCACCCACCCCACTTGAGCCATGCCACCCGCTCCCTTCACGCAACCAGACACCTTGGCCTGGTGAGGCTGCGATGCGGACGCTGATAGGTGGGCTCAGAGCCATGGCAACAGGTGGATGCCTCTTTCCTGCTTGCCAGCCTGGCCCGCCCTGCTCTCCTCCCAGTGGGCAGGAGCTGAGACTCTGCAGAGGGACCGGGACTCAGATGAGAGAGGTCTCCCCAGCAGGCACGGAGGAGCTGGTATTTGGCACCCACCAGATGGACCTGGCCAGAGAAAATGCCAGAATGAGCAGATTCTTTATCTAGGCCTAGGTGGAACATGCTGCAGCTAGGAGCCCCCAGAACCCGGGGCCGTGCCCCACTGGGCAGCACCCAGCAGGTAGGGCTTGCCAGGAATGGCCCATCCAGAGATCTAGGGGGGACCAGAGGATCTCTCCTCCCGGCTTTTGCTTGGTTCATTCTTTCGGGGTCTCTGGGAGACGAGGGAAGGACAGGGCTGGTCGGGTCACAGGAGGCTTAGTGGGCTGAGGCTCGGTGGCAGCAGTAAGGCATTTTCCTGGTGGTCAGCCTGGGCCTTGTCAGTAAGAGGAGCCGGACAGTTCGCTCGCCCTGCTGGTCCGGCCTATCTGAGCTCTCTGAGGGTCTCTCTACAGGCAGCATTCTCTTGCCCCCCTCTCTCCCATTCTTGGGTGAGAAAATAGGTGAGTGAGAGGAGACATCTCTGGTGGATGCCCCAGTCACCTGGTCCACCCTCTTGGCAATCACAGATTGCAAGATATGGTGAAAGGGACCAGGGCTGCACCACTGGGAGCCTGCCTGGATTTGAGGGGTTGCCTGGACACTCAGCTCCCTCTCCTGGCTTCCCAGGCCCTTAGTCTTAAAGGACTCAGGGCCAGGATGGGCGCAGCACCACTCTTTCCCAGCCCCATTGAGTTCTCCCCTAGGCCTGACTCATCTGCCTCTTCATCTCCCCATAGCCCGATCTGCTTAACTTCAAGAAGGGATGGATGTCGATCTTGGACGAGCCTGGAGAGGTAGGAGGGCCAACGCGGAGAGGAGGGGGGTGACTTGCTGCAGGGCCCTGTAGGGTCCTTGGGGGCAGCCCAGGAGGCTGAGTTGCTTCCCTGGCCTGTCCAGCCTTGTAGGGACCCTGGCCTCTGGGTGGAGGGGATCCAGGGTGGGGGCCAGACGTGGGAACTCTGAGGGCAGGGTGTTTCTTGTCCAGCCTTGGGCTGTGGGGGTGGGAAGGAAGAGGCTTCCCGGAGCAGTCTGCAGTATATAAGAGTCACCAGGGAGGCAGGCCTCCCGGCCCCTCGGGCCTTCTACCTCATCCCCTCCTCTCACCCAGAGTCCCTTGGTCCCCCACCTCTTACTGACCCTGCTGGTTACCCTGGATAGGTGGGATCACAGAGATCATCTGGCCTGAGATGTGCGCTGATTCCCAGCAACTCAGTCATGCAGCAGCCCCCACAGCGTGCAGTGGCGGGGCTGCTCAGAGCACATTTCCTAAAGTCCCGCCGGCCTGGGACCTCATTGGTTGAATCACAGCTTCTTCTGGCCTCAGTGGGCACATGTGTGTAATGAGCATAATGGATAATGATGATTCCTTCCAGGGCGGACAACCGTCACAGATGTCTGTAAGGAGTCCCACATAACGTCCAATGTCTGCTAGGGCCTCAGGCATAGCCCTTCCCTTTCTCTAATGTATCTATCCTTGGAACCAGAAGGGACAGTGGCTTCTTACTTGCTCTGCCCTTTCAGCCGCCAGGCCGGAGCTAGAGCTGGCTTTATGCCCACGCACCTTGGGAGGGGACGTCTTCCCGCCCCTGTTCTGCATGCGCTCGTGGCTTGGGTCTGTGTGCAGCCCACATGCCAGGAGGCTTGGAGCCAAGGCGAATCGCATTGTGTTTCTGACCCACATGCATTATTCCCTCCAGCCCACAGCCTCCCTTACCCGCTGCCTGCTCGCCGGTCCACTGGTGGCTGTGCTCCAGCCTCACACAAGGCCTGGCACCGTGCCAGGGACCCGTCCTGGCCTCCCCACCCAGGGTCTCTAGAGGGCAGAGACGATGGGCCCCACCCAGAACTGGCCATTACTCATTCTCTTTCACGAGGTTTTGGAATGTCCAAGCTGGAAGGGCCCTGGGAGCTCAGCCAGCCAGCCCCTTGGTGCTCAGGCAGGAGACAGGACCACAAGCTCCCTGCAGGCCTAGCAGCACCTCGGGCAGACCTAGGCCTGGAACTTGGGCACCTGAGGCCCACGGCGCTCCACCCAGCTCCCACCTCAGTCATAGACCAGCCTGGAAGGGCCAAGGACATCATTTGGCCCAGAACCCCTGCCCCACTTTATAGAGGGACAGTTGAGGTCCTGAGCAGCAACTCAGGCCACTCAGTAAGAGCAGGGCGGCTCTAAAGGGGCCAGCCTTTTAAAACAGTCCCTAACAGTGTAGTGCACAGCCCTATGCCAAGTGCCATGAGAGACATACAAGGAAGGAGGGCTAGGAACTTCTAACCTTACAAGAAGGCCCCCTTCAAGAAGTGTGACCCAGCTTGGACCTTTTATTAGCCTGCTTTATAAGTTAGAAGGCTGAAGCTCAGAGAGGTCAAGATATTTAACCGAAGACACTCAGCTAGCAAGGGATGAAAGAGTTGTAACCTAGGTCTCTTGAATGCTCAGGGGAGGCAGTGTGGAAGGAAGTTGAAAATGTCATCCTGGCATCTCCTTGAAAACTGACCGCTTTCTTGAGGGGAAAAAACCCCTAAGTATTTAAAATAATGAACAGTGTGGGTAGGGCGTGGTGATGTGTGGGAGCCCCGGGAGAGGCCAGGGACTGGGTGACACGCGCTGACCCTGGCAGTGGGTGGGCCCTGACTAGCATTCCAGTGAGTGGCCAGGAGCCAGAGGAGGGCTTAACGGCAGGCTGCTCTGGTGCCCCCGGCCCTTTCCTTTCTGACGTGCTCTGCTGGTCTGATGCCAGCTGGAGCAGAGAAAGGCGCTCCAGAAGGGATCCCAAATCATAAATGTTCAGATAATGCACCTCACAAGGCGAGCAGGCACGTAACTAGCATCCAGATCAAGAAAGCGAATTCTGCCAGTGCTCGGCCGCCTCCTGTGGGGCTGCCTTCCAGTCTTGCTCTCCGGGAGACCTGTCCTTGGCGGCTGAGGAGATCCAGAGGGGCAGGGGCAAAAAGACTTGGGAAGTTCTGGTCCCTGGCTTGCTAGGCAGATGACCTTACACAGGTCACGACCCCTTCCTCATCTGCACTGGGGGCATCTGCTTGTAGGAGCCTTAGCGATTTTGGTGGAAAGGACCAGGATGGGCGTCGAAGTATTCACAGCTCCAAGAAGGGCTCCCAGAAGGACAGGGACGGTGCAGTTACCGAGCAGGAGGCACCCATTTCACAGATGCTGCCCCTGCAGCTCACAGAGGAAATAAAGGGCAGGCTTCAGCTCCGAGCTTTCTGACTCTGCTCTGCCCCCTGCCCCTCAGCAGGGTGGGTGAGGGTGCCAGGCCCCTGCTGTGAGCAGAACGGCTGACCTGGCGACACCCAGGGCGCCTACAGAGCGGCACACGCATGCTCTCATTCCCCGCCCCTCCTTCCCCACTTACCACCACCTCTCCCTCACAGTGGAAGAAGCATTGGTTTGTGCTGACTGATTCAAGCCTCAAGTACTACAGGGACTCCACCGCTGAGGAGGTGAGACAATGGGGTGGAAGGGCTCCCCCGGCATGACATACTGGGGGACTCCCTGGAAGGGGCTTGGGGGACTTGAGTGGGGTCATTGGAGCCCGTGGATCACCGTGACCTTCCTGCTGCAGGCCGATGAGCTGGACGGCGAGATTGACCTGCGCTCCTGCACCGATGTCACCGAGTATGCAGTACAGCGCAACTATGGCTTCCAGATCCATGTGAGGCTGTGTGCAATGGGAGGGGGGCGTGACTGGACGGCCCCCCCAGAGGAGGTGTTGGTGTGGAGCATGGCTCTCCATCAGAGACTGGCTCTGTCACTCATTTGCACAGAGGCCCCATCCTCAGAGCCAGTCAGAAGTTTTGCTGCCAACACAACACATCTGAGGAGACCCCGGGTGTCATTGGCAGGGGCAGCTCAAATGTTGAGGAGACCTTGGAGCCAATGGGGCTCTTCCAAGGCTAGATAGTAGAGGGGAGGGATTGCACCCTCCACTCGCCTCCAGGCTCAAGACCTTAGACACCCTCTTGGGAGGGAAGGGCCACCCTCCCTGAGGTCCACAGTGGGGACAGAGCTGTGGGGCTAGCCATGTGGCAACCTACCTGTGGGGTGGACTTGCAGACCAAGGATGCTGTCTATACCTTGTCGGCCATGACCTCGGGTATCCGGAGGAACTGGATCGAAGCTCTGAGGAAGACCGTGCGCCCCACCTCAGCCCCAGATGTCACCAAGTATGTGCTGGGTTGGACCGAGGCTTTGGGGAGGCACTTACCCTGCATCCTTGAGTGATGGTCTGACTCTTGCCTGAGGACCCTCTAGTGGTACCCTCTGGGCCTCAGTTTCTCTAAAAACAAAGTGGGGAGGGGACAGTGAGCCTCCTTGGCAGTCCTCCAGAAGTACATTAAGGATTTTGGGTTTGACTGCTGTCCCTCTATGTCCCCCACAACCTGAGAGGGAGGGGAGAGGCCTCAGCTCTTTGGAGAAGATGCCAGTGAGTCAAAGGCCCCCACTCGGTGGCCAGTTGATTGCCTGTGCTGTGGGACCTGTGTCTCCTGTGTCGGGGAGAGGGGATTGCTGGGCAGTCTGGGAGGGGGCTCACTCCCTTTGGAGGTTCCCATGGGCAGAGGGTGGGAGGGCTCAGTTACTTGGTGGTAGAGCCCCCACACAGTGTAAACCTCAGACACCCGTGGGGCGGGGGCGTGTGGCTGCTGGGCAACAGGAATGGAAATGTGGCATGGAGGGGCGTCAAGTGCAAGTCCCCTATTGTCCCACAGCCTGGCTGCCCAGCCCTGAGGCCAGTCACTTTCTTGTCTTGAGTTTGAGATTCTTCATCTGTCAGACTGAGTGCCAGGAGAATGTGCACAGAAGCCCTTTGTAAACTGAAACGCAGTGCAGCTGAATTATTATTTAGTATATACACTTGGCTGCTATAACAAAGAAGCCCCAGACACAGTGGCTTAAACCGGGAAAGGTTTATTTTTCTCCAGAACAGTCTAGAGGTGTGTAGTCCAGACCTGACCCTACTCCCAGCATTGCCCCAGCTCAGGACGCTTCCCTGGCTCTCCTGGAGTCCCAGACAGGAGCCAAGCCAGGGCACACCCAGTCCTTTAAAGGGTGCTACCTCTCACTTCCACCAGGCAGGATGTGGGCACATGGCAGCGCATTGCTGCAAGGGATGCTGGGTGACCAAATACCCAGGTGTTGTTACAGAAGAGGAACACTGCCACAGCTCTTAAGTCTCCACAGCATGTGGCCTGTGCCCTGTTCACCTCCTCAGCAGTAGCCATGGGCATCTCCCCTATCCCACTGTGAGCCTCTTGAACCCAGGACCTTGTCTCAAACCATACTTTTAATAATCACACTTCGATCACCGTTCATAATGGGCTTCCTGGTAGCTTTACACACATTCGGCCACCTAGTCCTCATATTCATCCTGTGAGAGGCATTGTGGTCTCACGTTACAGAAGAGTGACTGGGGCTCAGAGGGAAGCCGGATACCCTGGTCGCTCATGTGGTAAGTGGTGCGGGTGGGACGGTTCCCAGGGAGCCCTCATGATGAAGCCCTGGTTCTGACCTCTGGGTCGGGCTGCTTCCTCTGCTGGGGTTCATCCCCAGGCCTGGCACGCCAGTGGCACTGCAGAAGTGCTTGTTTTGGGACTGGGTGGGCGAGGTCCTGCCTGATGTGGCTCTGCTGGCACCCTAGGCTCTCAGACTGCAATAAGGAGAACACGCTGCACAGCTACAGCACCCAGAAGGGCTCCCTGAAGGCAGGGGAGCAGCGCGTGGGCTCCGAGGTCATCGGCCGGGGCGGCCCGCGGAAGGCAGATGGACAGCGGCCGTCCCTGGACTACGTGGAGCTCTCCCCGCTGACTCAGGGCTCCCCGCAGCGGGCCCGCACTCCGGCTCGCACCCTCGACCGCCCAGCCAAGCAGGAGGAGCTGGAGCGGGACCTGGCCCAGCGCTCTGAGGAGCGACGCAAGTGGTTCGAGGCCGTGGACAGCAGGGCCGCAGAGACACCAGCTGGTGAGGGGCCACGCCGGGGCCTGGGCGCCCCACTGACCGAGGACCAGCAGAGTCGGCTCAGTGAGGAGATTGAGAAGAAGTGGCAGGAGCTGGAGAAGCTGCCCCTGCGGGAAAACAAGCGGGTGCCTCTCACCGCCCTGCTCAACCAGAGCCGCGGAGAGCGCCGGGGCCCCCCGAGTGACAGCCACGAGGCGCTGGAGAAGGAGGTAGACATCGCGGCTGTGGGAGCCCCCTCACCCCATCAACACCCCTCCTGTCCCTGCAGTCACACTGCGGCATTTATCGTGCATACCTACAGTGATGGGGCACTCACCCCAATCCAGTGTCTGATACTTCAGACTCCTTGTAAACTGGAATCCTCTCTTCTAGACCTTGGGTTTTTTGTTTGTTTGTTTTATTTTTATTTTTCCTTCTTCATTCTGTCCTCAGTAACCACAGAGAAGGGAAGAAAAAAGAGAGAGCATTTACTGAGCATTTTGTCTTGGGCCCTTTTGCCTTTGAGAGGCTCATCCTGGGTTCACAGCAGTCTCTTGGTCCTGGAGGGTAGATCTCACCACAGCTTCACTGACGGACGCTGAGGCTCAAAGACATTTCCCCTGCCACCCACATAATGTACAGGTCTGCGGCCACAGTGTTCTGTCCCCAACCCTGCCTAGTCCCCCCTGGGCCAGAACGCCTCTGCTCAACGATCCAGGGAACAGCCGGCACGTGCCCCTTGCCTGCACCTCCCCACCAGGGCCACTGCTCAAATCCAGAGCTCCTCGCTGCCCCTCACGAGCCCCGGCCCTGCTCCCGGCCCCTGCTGACCTCATCTCCGCCCTTCACAGGTCCAGTCTCTTCGTGCCCAGCTGGACGCATGGCGTCTCCAAGGGGAGGCTCCTCAGAGTGCACCCAGGTCCCAGGAGGATGGTCACATCCCCCCAGGCTACATCTCACAGGTGAGGCTGAAGAGCTGCTTTCTGGGGGATGGGGGCAAGTTTCTGGTGGCCATGTTTTCAGAAAACAGCTAACATTTTGGAAGCCCTTCCTGTGTACCAGCACCCACGGGAGGCATTTGACGCGCATTGTCTCGTTTACTCTCCCCAGCGCGTGGACATGAGCGCTCTGCCCATTTATAGACAAGGCCTCTGAGCTATGAGAGGTTATATGACTTGCCCAAGGTCAACCGGCCTGCAGACGTCAGAGCTCAGGTCTGACATCTGCTCTCATGTGACACTCTGCATTTAGACCGCTTCCCTCACACTGCCCTGGGGACGGGGGGAGCCAGTGGGGAGCGGGAGCCCCAGTGGGCAGGCCCCTGGAGGTGCCCCCTAAACAGAGAGGCCCTGCTGCACGCCTGCCAGGCTGGGGCCCTCCCGAGAGCGCCTCAGGGCTGGACGTGCCCAGTGGCCCTCAGGGGGCCCACAGTCTGCCTAGGGTAGAACTTCTCAGCGGAGGCTGATTTTGTTCCCCTGGGGACCTTTGGCCATGTCTGGACACACATTTGATTGTCACCGTGGGGGCAGCTAGCTTCCCAGAGAAAATGCATGCATGTGTACACACACACTTAAATATGTGCTATCGATATAAAAGATATGTAGATTTTAAACTATACTGATACAAAGGATGTTTAGTACACAACTTACAAATAAAAAATCCATAATATTTTTTATTGTAACTTCCATATAGCAAATTGAGTGTTCTCAGAATACTTTCATTGGTTTTGCTGAATGCTTGTATTCACAACTGACAAACGAGTGTCATTCTAACACGAATGGTGGTTGACATTTTTATTTATGTTAATGAGTAAGACAAACATGTTAAAACTTTACTTGGTCAATGTCATGAGCAATATTTTGGTTGAACTGGATAATAATTCTCTACTGAGAGATTTTCTTAAAAGCATCTCTTCAGGTTTTTGTTGTATTTACAGTGTGATGGTCATAGATACAGCACACTTTTAAGTTTAATATGCGTTATTTTCTCATCGCTCGCTTAAGTCTAAACTATCAACAAAACAACAAATCGAGCCCTGGTTTGTCATGTTTACCAATGTCCATGGTGTAAATCCTCCCACTGTGGCTGAAGGACCTGAACATGGAGTTGGGAAGATGTGCGCACTGCATTGTAGAGCACTTCCGCCACGCAGGCACAGAGGACAGTAGCCTCCAGGGCACAGGCAACAATAAAGTGCAGTGAACTAATCAAGAAGTGATGAATTTTGAGTATCAGCTTTGTTTTTAGTGTAATTAATTATAAGTTTATAGAATTTTTAATAATGGCCAATGCTTAACAACCGTATCACAGAATTCCTAATAATTTGATAATCTGCTGCCTCTAGTCAGCACACCACTGCCTGAAGCAGAAAAGAATGCTGAGATCCCAGGCTTGGAGCAGAGGGGCCTTCTGGAACTTCTAAGGGGAGAGGCTGCTGTGTGGGGCCCTTGGGAAGCCTTTCTGGGGGTGGGCATGAAGCTGGGCCCTGGGTGGGGTGGGGGCGTGGGCTGTGGTGGGAGGTTGGTGGGTGCCAGTCCCGGAGATCCCCACCGCTGAGCCAAGGAGTTGGGAGCTTGTGCCACATACCTGAGAGGAGGTTTGGGGTCTGATAGTGACATCGGGAAGGTGGTGTTGGAGTGGAGGGGGCTTGGGAGGGGCCAAAGCCAATGTCAGGAACTAAGATGGCAACTGAGGGTGAGAGGGACATAGGAGGGTATATGGAGGGAGGAGTTTAGGACTGGGGGATTGGGCCCAAGAAACGCAGAGGAGAGCCCGGTAGCCCTAAGGCCGGGGCCGCTGCCACAGCCTGGGAGGTCGCCTGATAGGGGGAAGGGGGAGAGGGTAGGAACCAGTGTTGTCAAAGGCTCCTCTGAGGCCAAAGGAAGGGGTGGGTGGGCATCTCCAGGCAAGGTGGGGCCCAATGCCACAGCCTGGGCCCCGCCCCGAGGACCGCGAGTGGTGCCACTGGTAATCAGAACAGCTCCATCTTTGCCTATTTTACTATTAGTCCGTGCCTTAGATTTCCTTTGGAAGAAGGTTTCTGTCACTAAAATGAAGTTTGAAAAGCACTTCTCTAACTTCTCAGCTTACCGATAGGGAAACTGAGGCCCAGAGAGGAGGCGAGAGCAGGCCTCCTGGTCCCCAGGGACCCCACTGGGCACTCCAAGCGCTGTCAGCACCTTGTCTTGCTAGGCTGGATGGGTCAGGGGAGCAGGCAGCATTGGGTGGGGGTGGTGAGAAGGGACTGAAGGGGGGACGGAGAGCAGAAGACGGGAGTGGAGGAGTGGCCCAAATGCCGAGGGCGCCAGAGAAGAGGAGCTCAGCCATCTGTCCCCCTCAAGCACTGGAGGAAGCGGCTGGAGATTCAGTGGACCCTGGAGAAGTGACAGCTGGGGAAGGAGTCCCCAACCTGGTATCTCAGGCCGAGTGGATGCCCCTCTTAGTTGGTGGGTCTGGCTACCACAGGACAGCAGCTCGGGGGTCTGGGGCTGTAGTGCCTTTCCAGCAAAGGGGACCGTTCCATGCTATTGCAGTGAGGGCCACGGGCATTTCTTTATCCACTTTGATCCATGTCAGAGGGCAGCTGATACCTTGGGTCCACCAGAAGGTAGGTCAGAGAGCAGCACCTGGCCTTCTGGGAACCCCTCCTCATGGGCTGGCTCCCATCTCCTGCTAAGAGCCTTCCAGGCCCCTGTTAGCCGGCTGCTGGCTCTGCTTCCCTGATCTGACCCTTTGACAGCAGGTCCCCACCCCCAGGATTTCTCAGCTCTCTGCAGGTGGGTGGTCTCTACAGGTGGATGCTAGCTTATCTTGGGGACCCTTGGAAGTTGGTTTTATGGGGCCTGTTTTACAGATGAGGACACTGAGGCTCAGAGAAGGAAAGGGGCTTGTTCAAGTTCTCTCCAGGATACAGCCAGGATTGGGACTCCCAAGCAGTCTTCTGTTGTCCTAACTCAGGAGACACCCAGGACAGGCACAGAGTCCCATGGGACAGATACCCTAGTTCACTACCTAGAACACCTGGACCCAGCTGGCCTTGCCCTTGCCCCTCCCCCAAAGTGGCCTTCGAGGTGTGGCTGCTAGAGAGGTGGGTGTCATCCACATCACTGTGAGGTGCCCTGTGCCACGGGGTGGGTGCGGGGAAGGATACCATTTCTTATCTGTCCCTTTCTGCCTTGGTTCTTCCCCGGCCCTTCCCCTTCCGTTTTTAATGATCTTACTGTTTTTCATTATATAAGAAATAGGTTTACATTTTCATAAATAATTCAAACAAAGGGTTAGAAATAAAGACATGAATCCTTCCTCTGCCCACTCCCCACTTCCCCCGGCCCGCCCCAGGGGTCACCCAGAGCACCATCTGAGCACATCTGCATAGTTTCCTGTTCGCTATCTCACAGTTTCGGAGCATAGAAGTCTAGCATGGCTCTGGCCGGGCTAAAATCGAGGCGGCCACAGGACTGCATTTCTTTCTGTAAGCTCCGGGTAGGATCCTGTTTCTCGCCCTGTTCAGCATATGATGGCTGCCCACCTTCCATGGCTGGTGGCCCTTCCTTCCTCTTCAAAGTGTGCAAAGGAGTCAAGTCCTTCTCACTTCACTCCGACCTTCTGCGACCCCCTCTCCCTATCTCTCTGCTCTCCTGCCTCTTCCACATCTGTGGGCCCTGTAGCTACACTACACCGGTCCAGCACATAATCTAGGATAGTCTCCTTGTTCCAAGATCATGTGATTAGCAAGCCCAATTCCCCTGCTGCAGGGTAAAGTGACATTTGCAGGTTCCAGGGCATAGGACGTGGACACTTTAAGAAGCCAGCACTCTGCCCCGCAGCATCCTCCCCTGCCTTTCCTGAGCTTTTGTGTGCCTGTACCCTGACGCCCACCTCCGTGTGTTTTGTTTTCCATGATTGGGATGACCCCATGGCTATTGCCAGAAACCAGTTTTTATCACCTAACTTTCCAGATTCCCTTCCCCAGCAACCCACGTGGGCAGCCCTGTCTTTTAACAACCACCTGGGTCCTTTGTAACGCTCGATCTCATAATTTATTTAAGGGTTGTTTATTTAGATTGTTTCCAGTTCTTGTCTGTTGCCAGTCTTGCTATAGGGAATATGCTTCTCCAGGAGTCTTTGTGTATGAGTGACTTTCTGTGGAGTCTTTCCCGCAAGTGGACCTGCTAGGTCAAGAGATAGGGTCATTAAAGATGCATCAGTGCTATCAAACTGCCCTCCATGTACCCTGTCACAGCGACTCTCCCATTCTGGTCTACGAGGTCTCGTTGTGTGATGTCATCAATCTTAGCTCACTTACTCAGCACCTGCCACACATCAGGCCCCAGCCCAGGCGCTAGGGGCTCCAAGCTGGATCAGATCTTCCATCTTTGGGGAACTTACGATCTGGTGGAAAGCTGCAAGGCCTTTGGCGGCTGGGAAGAGGTTCTCCAGAGACAGAGGACATTTAAGCTGGGCTGCAGGTCAAGTGAATTACCTAGGAGGGGGAGGTTGCAAAAGAATTTTCCAGGCAGTGGAAACAGTATGAGCTACAGCTCAGAGGAGTAAACATGCCATGAACTGCTTTTGTTTGTTTTACAATTGTGAGGTGTCTTGGTGGGGAAGGGCCAGGGATGAAGCGACAAGGGTCAGAAATGGCAATGGTACCTGGCCCTGCAGGATAGGGCCCTTAGAAAGGTTTGAAACAGAAGAACAATGGGGCAAGGTCTGTAGATGGAGGAGTGGAGGGCGGAGGGGGACAGATGCAGGCTGGGGATGCCAGGGTCCAGGGGAAGCCTGGATCCCAGGGGAGGCCTGCGCCTGAGGCTTCTCACTTCAGGCTGGAGTAGGGCCCCTGTCCCATACAACGGGGGCAGCCCTGTGACCCCCTGGCTTCCTGCCCACAGGAGGCGTGGGAGCGCAGCTTGGCAGAGATGGAGTCCTCGCACCAGCAGGTGATGGAGGAGCTGCAGCGGCACCACGAGCGGGAACTGCAGAGGCTGCAGCAGGAGAAGGAGTGGCTTCTGGCTGAGGAGACGGCCGCCACGGCCTCAGGTGAGGACCCTGGGCACATGTGGCACAGTGGGCCTGGCCCCGCGAACCTCTAAGCCAAGGCTCCTCACTGGATTCAAGAGGCTTTTAAATAAGAGGCTGGGGTCTCGGTGCCAGACTTGGGGTGAGGGGTCAGGAGGAGTTGGAAGCCCCCAGAACTGGCCTCTGACCTTACTTGAGAAGAAAAGGAGGCAATAAAGAGACATCTCCCCGCATCGGCTGTGGGGCCTGCAGCCCCTGGAAGGCCCTCCTTAAGCCACATACACACTGAGCCGCAACTCTGTGCCAAGGCCTGTGCCACATACTGGGGGAGACACTGTCCAGCCTCAGACCCAGGTCTCATGGGGGGCATCTCAGTGGCACATGGGCCGGGCCCTGGGAGAGCAAGGGAAGGCGTGGGCACTTACCAAGCCTCGCTACCCAGTTCTAGTCCTTGCAGTGCCCCAGGGAGCGGCCCGTTTACAGATGATAAATGGGAGCTCAAGGGGGTTAGGGATTTGTCCCACATGGCACAGCTTAGAGGTGGTAGAAGCTGGAGTTGGAGCCCAGAGCATGCTGACTGCAAAGCCATGTCTAAACTCACCCTCTGCTCTCCCAGGACAGAAACAGGAATGACCCGAACGAGGTGTTAGGCAACTTCCTCTCTGTCAACTGCCTATCTGCTGTGTGTGCCTGGTACAGCCTATGTGCCTTCGGGGGTTGTAGAATAATGGAAGTTATGAGAGATCCCGTGATCTAGAACTTACCGCCTGGTAATTGCTTCACACACTCAAGCCCATGGCCCCTCATGCCAAACCCTGGGGCTGGTGACTTTTGCATTTTAGGAAGATAACCCAGTGCATATATTAAGTGTCCTCCCTCCCCCAGCAGGATCTGGACTTCACCCTGAAAGCTAGCACTAAGGTGTTGGCAGTGAAATTTCTGAGTGTCACCCGTAAGTGGAATAATAATGACCTCAGATAGCCTCATATCCATTCAGATTAGGGATTGTCACCAAAAAAGTTATGAAAAACTTCCAGTATTCAGAGCTTTTGGGTTTTGGAATTATCTATAGATAAGATGATGGATGAGGACTTCTTTAATCCTCACAGCAACCCCATGTGAGTGGGAAGAGTCTTGGTCCTTGGGAGCTCACAGTCTGAAAAATAACTCAGGAGCTAATATCTGAGCTATGTGTTGTTCTAAATGCTCTACACACATCTTGCACTAACAGAGAAGGTGCTGTTGTTAACCCGGCTTCCAGAGAAGGGACCTGAGGCACAAAGGGGTTAAGTCCCCTGAGCAGTTGCCTACATTTTTACCAACTGCTGAGCCTGTACTCTTGATCACTGAGCTGGGCCAGGCAGATGGCTCTTGTTAAAGGACCTTCCAGGGGGTGCAGGGAGAGTGGACTATGTGAGGCCCTACCAAGCCATCACAAGAGATATAGCGGTCAGCACTGAGGTGTCTCCCCAGCAGGGTCCTTCAGACAGGGATTGTTACCCCTCTTGCTAGACAGGCTTAGAAAGGTCGAGCAAGTTACTCATAACCATTCAGTTCATGACTCAGCCTGGTCCAGTGCTCTGTGCTTGCCACTCCCTGCTCCTGTCTCCATGGTGCATATGGATTCTCAGAGGGGGTAGAGTTTGGTGCTGCTGACCCCTCCCCAGTCTCCCCCATTGCTTCTCTGCCCTGCTTCCAGCCATCGAAGCCATGAAGAAGGCCTACCAGGAGGAGCTGAGCCGGGAGCTGAGCAAGACACGGAGTCTCCAGCAGGGCCCAGATGGCCTCCGGAAGCAGCACCAGTAAGATGGCACTTGGGCCCGGGGTCTGTAGGTTGGGATCCCTATGAGCAAGGGGCCCAACTGCCTTCCCTGCTGGTTATGACATGGTCAAGGATCTGTGCTACTTCCCCTTTGCAAAGGATATGTCAGTTTGCCCCCATCTGAGACTCCTAATGTTGTCATTATGGCACAGGGAACAGAAGCCACTCCTCCATGCCATCCACGTGGACAGTTCTTCAGGCCCCTTCTTTTCTAGCTGGTCTCGGCCTCCACACTCCTCTACTCCTCATTAGTGTCCCCCGGAGCTGGGTTGCAGTATTAGCCTCGGCCAGTCGCTCTCCCTTCCTGCCACAGAGTGCAGTTCCAGAATGTTGAGGCTGCAGAAGCTTTAGGGATGGGCTCTTCCAACCCACCCCCTCATAGGGGAGGCACCTGTAGCCACGTGAGGCTGTCACCCATTCATAACCCCACAGTTGGGCTAAAAGCAAAACTAGAGTGGAAACACAGGAGGCCTGAGCTGCTGTGAGTTGGCCATGACCCGACACCAAGCTTGGTAGAGGGCAGGCGAGCCCACGTCATCCTTCCCCTCCTGTTCCCGCACAGGTCAGACGTGGAGGCGCTGAAGCGGGAGCTACAGGTGCTGTCAGAGCAGTACTCACAGAAGTGCCTGGAGATCGGCGCCCTGACGCGGCAGGCTGAGGAGCGCGAACACACGCTGCGGTGCTGCCAGCAGGAGGGCCAGGAGCTGCTGCGCCACAACCAGGTGGGCCTGGCCCTGTGGGATGGGGGAATGGGCTCCCCGCAGCCCTGTACTGACCGTCCCACCTCCCCAGGAGCTGCATGCCCGCCTGTCCGAGGAGATTGACCGGCTGCGCGGCTTCATCGCCTCGCAGGGCACGGGCAATGGCTGTGGGCGCAGCGAGCGGAGCTCCTGTGAGCTGGAGGTGAGTGCCCACCAGCATACCAGGCAGCCCAGCTGGTCCTCGGGGCCTAGGCGTGAGGAGAGCACCTAAGGGGCTGGGCCCCAACAAGGAGGCGCCAGCACAGCTAGGGAGGACACCTGCTATGGGCTCAGCAACCCTACAGCCAGGGTCCAGCCTGCCACCCAGGTCCTGTCCCCTATCTGCTGTCTCATCCTTCTAAGCCCCATAGCTCATCTGTAAACCAGGGCTCACACCTTTCTTACGGGGAGAAGTTGTAGTGAGGACACGTGGGCATGGTCTCAGGATTACCCTGGTATTTCATTTTACACGTATTTATATACGGCTTTACTCTGTGCCTGCAGCTTCTGAAAGCCAAAGTTCTTAACTCACCAAATCTTCCTAACAGTCCTATGAGTTACATACTGTTACTATCCCCATTTTACAGATAAAGAAACTGAGACACAGGAAGGAAGGTCAAGTATGTTGTCTGAGGTCACACAGCTAGTTGGTGTGGGAGCTGGGATTTTAACCTGGCAGTCTAGCTCCAGAGTGTAAACTTTTAAGCCTCCCCAGTCTGGCTGAAACTGTCTCCTCCCTGGTCAAGATAGCCACACCTGCCCCTCCAGGCTTGGGGAGGGGTTAATGAGATAGTCCACAGGGAGTCCAGCCTCTCTGGTTCAGAGTAGGGACACATTGTGGCCTTCTTTTATCTGCTTTGCCCTCAAGTTGAGAGCCTGGTGGTGTGAACAAGGAGGAGAGAGGGCTCTCTGGAGGAGTGTGCGCCTGGGGTGAAGTGGGTCCTGGTGCAGGCTGGGAGCTGCATTCTAGGGGCCTGAGGCAGAGAGAGGGCAGCTGCAGTGCACTCTGGGCGGGGTGGCTCTGGCCCTGGCTCAGCCTGGCACCCATGACCCAGGTGCTGCTGCGCGTGAAGGAGAACGAACTTCAGTACCTGAAGAAGGAGGTGCAGTGCCTCCGGGATGAGCTCCAGATGCTGCAGAAGGTAGGTCCTGGCCGGCTGGAGCGGGGTGGCCAGGTGGGGAATCTCCGAGTCCATCTGGATGCCCCATCCTGTGAGTGTCTGCTCTGTGCCAGGCACTCCTCATCCCTCTCCCACGGAGGTATCATTGTCCCCATTTACAAAGAAACTGAGGTTAAGAAAGGATAAGTTACTTGCTCGAGGCCACACATGTTTTTATTTATTCAGCAAATATTTATTGAGCCCCTGCTACGTGCCAGGCACTGTGCTGGGTGCTAGGGACCCAGCTGTGAACAACAAAGACCAAAATCCCTGCTTGTGCAGAGCGTGCATTCCAATGAGGAATAAGCCATGTTGCTAGCAGTTGGGAGGGCTGGGATTCAGGCCCAGGTCTGTGAGTCTGTGGTTTGCCTGGTGCCGTGTCCCTTTGTCTTTGACACCCTCTGTGTGTTGGTGGCTCAGGGTGTGTGTGAGTCAGACTCGGGGAACTGGACCTCAGCATTGGTCTAGGCTGACCTGTTTCTCATCCCAGCCACAGGTTATCACTTGGTCTTGGGCAAAAGCTTCACATCCCTGAGACTCAGCAGGATGTAAATGAGGCTGAAACCTGTGTCACTGGGTGGTGCTGGGAGGGGTCTGTCCAGGACTAGGGGCCACCAAGGGGGGCCACCTAGAGGGACAAGGCCATGGGGACTGTAGAGGGGCTTGGCTGCTTTGTGCTGGCCAGCACGGAGTATGGTGGGCATGTGCCAGGTGGGCAGAGCCAGGTAGGGAGGGCTTTGTGCCCTCATAGTCCCTGCCCACCCCCAGGACAAGCGCTTCACCTCAGGAAAGTACCAGGACGTTTACGTGGAGCTGAACCACATCAAGACGCGGTCAGAGCGGGAGATTGAGCAGCTGAAGGAGCACCTGCGTCTTGCCATGGCAGCCCTGCAGGAGAAGGAGGCGGTGCGCAACAGCGTGGCCGAGTAGAGGTGGGTGCCCGGGGCGGGCGGGAATGGGGCCCAGCAGGGCGCCTGGCCTGGAGCTGTGCACCCAAGGCTATGCCACCTGGTCCGGGGCACTTCCTTCTCCTGGCCTCTGTTTCCCTTTCTATAAATAGGGACTGTGCGCAGGCACAGCCTGATTAGGCCACACGCCCCATTGGAGCTGACAGTGCCCCTTGGCTGATGTGCCTAGGTTTGGGTGGCGAATCCAGTATGCCCGCGCCCCTTCGGATCTGGCAGCAGGGCACGCATCACTAACCATTATATAGTATTCCTTCCACCGAGCTCCGCTCTCAGACATAACAAAGGAGGACAGTCCCCTCTTTCTGACAAGTCCTTGTGGACTTCGAAGGCACTAGGGAGAGGCCACCCAGTGGGCCAGGCTTTTTGGGAAGAAGCCTGGGGGAGCAGATCGGGCCCAGCCTGCGGGGCCAAGAGGTGTTAGCAGGGCCTGCTGGCACATGCCCACCATACTCTCCTGGCTTAAGCCACGCTGGGGCCTCAGGCCAAGGCTGAGGCATCCCAGCCCTCAGCTCCCTCACTCTTGTCTTCCAGGTCCCTGTGGTCCAGCCCAGCTGCAGACCTCCCAGTCCAAGGGGACCAGTTGCCCTCCTTCCCTGCTGGATGGAAGTCAGAAGCCAAGCTTTCTCCCCACCCTCTGTGGGCTACATGTGCACTCGCAACTACCACACACATGCACATACAGGCACACACCACACACACAGGCACGCACCGCACACACAGGCACACACAGGCACGCACCACACAGGCACCACATGGGCGTACACTGCACAGGCACACACCACATGCACAGGCATGCATACCACACACAGGTGCACGCCACACAGACCCCGCACGGGCACGCACACAGACACCGCAGAACACACACCACATGCACAGGCACACGCAGACACTTCACAGGCACACACCAGCACACACACCACACACATGCACAGATGCGTGCACACACACACTCTGCGTATCTGAGCGCGCCCCTCGCACTGGGTCTTACCTTGCACCTTCTTCAGGATTTTATATGTGAAGAGATTTTTATATGTAGACTTTTTTCTTTTTTTTTTCCAGAAACACTTTGTACTTTTTAAAAAACAATTCCAGGTGGCCATGTGCCTCCAACACTGGCTCCCCTCGGTCTCCAGCCTCCTGCTGGGGTTCTGGGCCTGTGGCCCTGCCCTGGGGCCTGGCAGTGGCCACAGCCAGGTTTGACTCCGGTGGGAGAGGCAAGGAGCCAGCCACCCTCCTCCTACCCTACCTCCCACTAATTACTTCCTGCCCCGGGGATCCGCACCCTGGGACTCGGGACAGATGGGCATAGGGAGCCGGCCTCTGTCTCCATGACCCCACCTCTCCTTCCAGCAGGGTGCTGGGCGTGGAACTGCTGGAGCTGCCCCGTGAAGGCGGTTCTTTTCTGCTCCATCAGCCTTCTTAACTTAATAAAACGTTCCCGCAGCTCTGGTGTCCTGGATGGCTGGGCAGGGCGGGATACGGAGGTTGGTGATTCTTAACCCCCTGCCCCCGAGCACTCCGCCCTTCCTGGAGGGCAGCCTGTGGGCCCCAAGGGCGGGGTTGAGAATCTAGTGCCTCTACCAGCCAATGCTTTGCAGCTCTGCACGGGGCGTACAGACCGGCGCCACCTCCACCAGCAAGCTTGTTAGAAACACCAAGTCCAGGGCCCACCTGACCTCCAGACTCAGTCTGCACTCGAATGTGGCCTCTCCGTGGTTCACATGCGCCTGAAAGTCTGAGGAGCCCTGGAGCGGGTGCTGGGCTGGGCTGAGCTGGAGCTGAGACTGCCCCTCACTGACCTTGGGCAAGTCACATCCCTTCTCCCATCAAATGGGTGTCTTTTAGCCCCAGTCCTGTATTAAGGCTGGGCCCATAGGTCATGGGCAGACCTGGGCAGGGTTGGGGTGGGGGCAGTGGATGTGGGAGGCCTCATCACAGCTGCCTGGTGGCCGTGTGTGGGGTTGGGAAGAGGCCCCTTCGGGAGTTGCCCTGGGCACGGGCTAGCTGGCCCCGTTTCCAGAGCCATAGCTGAGATGATGCGGACAAAAGGATACCTTGAGCCAGCCTCACTCATGGCTGTGGCCGGTCAACACTGCAGCACCGCAGTCTAGGCACTGGGTGCGTGGAGGTGCCCAGGAACTGGCCCTGCCCCCACCACTGTCACTAAATTGGCCACATCAGGTGGGGTGCTAGAAGGCTGAGGGAACTGGGAGGACACCTTAACCCAGCCTGCCGGTCAAAGAGGGCTTTTGGAGGTGGCTTTGAGATGTGGCTTTTCCAGGTGAAAAATCAGGAAGGGCATTCCAAGTGAGAACAGCGCGAGCACACGCACTGCGAGCATCCCTGGTGCGCGCAGGGAGAGCCGCCTCGTGGGGCCTGGAGGAGGGCCTGATTCTCTTGCCAGTGATGGGTTTAGGAGTGGGCTTGGGGTGCAGTTCCAGCCACTGAGATGGGAGCTGGAGAGCCAGAGGGGGTCATCTGGGAGGCCTCACTGTTAAAAAGAGTCATAAGGAAGCGAGGCTTCTCTCCCCTGGCCTTTGGACTGCCGGGTGAAGTCCCCGCATTGCCGGCATCTTGCCCCATCAAATGTGCTAACAATGATCGAGCGGCACAGGGACGCCCAAGCTTATCTCTTGACATAAGGAGCATCCCAGAGCCACTCAACAAGGTGTCTGCCACTGGCAGCCTCCTGTGCTGAGGTCAGCAGGCCCCTGCCTGTCCTCATTGTGCCTGGTTACCCCCCACCAGCCCCCTAGACATCCCGCAGTTCCATGCTCGGCCCCCATCACTCCCTCAGCCACCTCGGGCTTCCCATCTTGCTCCTGGGCTGAGGCACCTCCCTCCTCACCGGCTGTCTCCCACCCTCCTCAGGGCCACCTGGACAAGCTGAAAACATTAGGCCAACGTGACAAGGTGCTGCACTTTGAGATGCCACTACCCACTTACTAGAATAGCTCAGATGAAAAAGACTGGTGATCCCAAGTGTCCATGAGGGTGTGGGGACCTGGGATTCTCATGTGGTGCTGGTGGGAGCGCCATTTGTGCCACCACTGTGGGCATTGGTTCGGCAGGTTCTGAGAAAGTGAAACACATGTCTACCCTGTGGCCCAGATTTCCGCTCCGACATACACGTCCAAGAGCAAGGAGTGCTTGGGGCCACAAAATGACTAGAACAATATTCCTATCAGCCTTATTCATAGCAGCCCAAATCAGAACACAATATGTATGTCCATCAACAGAATGAATAAGTGTTATGTTCATACCTTAGAATACATACTACATGGCAAAGGAACAATTACTGCTACATGCAACATCATGATGAATCTTCAGACATAATGTTGAGTGAAAGAAGCCAGCCACAGAGGGCACACGCTGCACAGGGCCACTTAGGTGAAGTTTAAGGACAGGCAAAACCATCACCATGGTGATGGTCATCAGAACAGGGTACCTCTGAGCTATGACGGGGACGGGGAGGCTTGCATTGACTAGCAGTGAGCACAAGGGAACTTTCTGAGTGTGAGAAATGTTCCATTCCTTGATCTGGGTAGTGGCCCCATGGGTGTGCACACGTGTAAAAAGGTACCATGCTGTACACTTAATGATTTCTGCATTCAACTGTGAATCATGTTGCAAAAAAAAGGTTCCAGCAGGTGCCCAGGTGAGCCACCTGGGGAAAGCCCCAGCAACCTGTCCCTAGGGAAATAGGCCAAAACCACATGGCTTGGCTGCCAGGTCTCAGGCAGCCAGGCATGTCCTGTGGGAAGAGCGTAGGCTGGGGTATCGGACACCTGCCTGAGTTCAAACCCCAGCCGCTGCCTCCAGCCGGCGGCCTGAACCTCACCGAGTTGCATCCCTCTCTGGGCTTTATTTCTGCATCTGTTCAGTGGGGGCCACAATGTCTACCACAGAGAGCTGTTTAGGTGTTCAATTACCAACTATTTCACCCATCTATTGCTGCATAACCACCTGCTGCAAACTTAATGCCTTAGAACAAGTCTTTTATTATCATGTATAGTGCTGTCACTGGGCTCAGATGGGCAATTTTCTGGGGGGTTTTGTTTTGTTGGTTCTTTGCCATTGCTATTCTATGACAGCTGGAGTCATCTGAGGGCTCAGCTGGGCTGGACATTCAAGGTGGCTTCTTCACTCGTGTCTGGTGCCTCAGCTGGGATGACTCTGACAGGGACACCCGGGTGTCTCTTTCTCTGCGGCCACTTCGTGTGGCTAGCCGGGGCTTCCACACAGCCTGGCTGTCAGTCTGGAGTCTGACTTGTTTCTCACCTGGTGGTTGAGCGCCCAGAGAAGGCGCGTTTCAAGAGACCCAGCTGGAATGACAAGCTTCTGATGACTTAAGCTGGGAAGCGCTGTGGCATTGCTTTCCTCACACTAGTCAAAACCAGGTCACAGGGCCAGACCAGATTCAAGGGGAGGGGACAACTGCAGGGCGTGGGTGCGAGTCCCTTGTGCCTGGGCACTCCTGCTCCTGCAGCTCCCTCCCCCCACTCCTCCCCCATCCCCTCCCCTTCAGGCAATCCTTTCCTCCCCCACCCCCAATGTTGGGGTTGCCCACGGTGTGTGTTCAGCTCCTCTGTCTCCTACATGTTCTCCTGTGATGACGCTGATGTCTTGTCCCTGGCTTTTGTCTGTCTCCAGCCCAGACCTTTCTCAGGAACCCCAGGTCTGGGCAGCTGCAGTCAGTCTCAAGTCCATTATCAAGGCCCTGTTTTCCCTCCAACCTTAATTTCAAGAAGCCACAATCACCCAGACGATGCAGCAGCCCCTACCTGGGAGGTCGGGGGCGCTTCCTGGAGGAGCGGGTGCTGGAGCCGAGCAGGAACTAGCTGGGCTAGGAGGGTGGGGAGCATATTGCAGGTTGAATGAGTTTCACATTCAAAGGCACTGTGATGGGACAGAGCAGCTGGGCTTGGCTCGAGTTCTTCGGAGTGTATAGCGGGACCCCAATGGGGCCCGAGGGGCAGGCTGGAGCTAGGATCTGACCTGCAAAGAGGTGGGGGCCATAGGCCCAAGCTCTAGCTTCATTCCAGCCAAGTGGGGAGCCATGGGAGAGTTTCAGCATGCATGCCTGCTCAGGAGAAGGTCTAAGGACAGGAGCGTGGATGTCATCGGTGAAGGCCCTGACGGTTGGTCTCCAGGTGGATGTGGAGAGGAGGAAAGAACTCCCGAGGAAAAGCAGAAGGTAGGTTCACAGTGACAGGAGGGAGTGAATGCTTCAGGAAGGGAACGGCCAGCAGCGGCCAGGAGAAAAGGCCCATCAGGGTCCGCTGAATGTCCTCGAGCCACAACGGGTAGAGAGCCATGTAGGGTTGGGCTGGGGGAGGACAGAGAAGCCTTGTCACTTCCTTGTCACCAATGAGTCAGATTTTACTCCACTCCCCTTTTCTCAGGCCTAGAGCTCCGGTCACCGCAGCCCCGCACCCCCATCCTGGGGTTCCATGACCACCCACCCCTCTCAGCCCCAGGAACCAGCAGTGTCTCTGGGTGGGTAGGGGACGATGTCACCCCACAGTTCTCCCCCTCAGCACCTCCATTGCAGACCCCCACCCCCTTTCCTCCCAAACGCCCTTGGTTATACCCCTGCCCCTGCCCGGACGCCCCTGCCTCACCAGGCACAGACACCATGGGCGGGCAGGACGAGGAAGGAGCAGAGGCGCTCAGGGCTGGGCTCGGACAGCTCTCGGTCCATACCCTCGTCCCAGCTCTGCAAATCTGAGCACGTTACCTAGCTTTCTGTGCCTCCGTTTCCTCTTCTGTAAAATGGGGGTAGTAATGCATACCTCACAGAAGTGTGAAGATCAGAAATGAGCTAACAGGTATAAAAACGCTGAGGAGAATGCCTAGGACCTAGTTGGGGCAACACAAACGTTCCCTGTTATGACTATGGTGGCTGGTGTCATGAGGCGGTTATGGGGATGAAATGAAATTATGGAAGTAAAATGCACGGCACGGGGCCAGGAATCTGGAGCTATGACTTTATTATTATTAGGGGGGAGCTGGATGCTCCTGCCCCCGCCACCCCCAGAAGACCCGGTTAAACTTGGTCCACACCCCGATTCCACGGCCTGTGAGAATCCAGTCTCCTTGTTTCCACTCTGGCAGGTTCCCACCTGTCATTTTTCCTGAGACTTCCTTTCCCGTGTGGCGGGAGCTGTTTGCAGGTACTAAGCCAGAATCTTCGGTGGTTGCTCCACATCTCACCTTGCCCCCTGTGCACCATCGTGACCCCTGGCTGGTGGGGGGCCCTGGGGAGTCTGGGAGGAGTCCGGCCTGGCCCCCGCCCCGGAACTGCCCGACGCCTCCTCCCACCAAGCCCTGGCCAGCTGACATTTCCTGCTCTTGGATGGAGCTGCTTACCCTGGTTCCCTGGGCTGTGTTCAGCCTCTTCCCCGGTGCCTGGCCTCTGGTGTTTCCCTTCCTGTCCCACC